AAAAAAAAAAAAACCTAAGATCATGGCCACTGGTCCCATCACCTCCTGGCAAATAGAAGGGGAAGATATGGAGGCAGTGACAGGTTTTACTTTCTTCGACTCCATGATCACTGCAGATGGTGACAGCAGCCAAGGAATTAAAAGACACCTGCTTCTTGGGAGGAAAGCAATGACAAACCTAGACAGCATCTTAAAAAGCAGAGACATCACCTTGCTGACAAAAGTCTGCATAGTCAAAGCTATGGGTTTTCCAGTAGCTATGTATGGAACTGAGAGCTGGACCATAAAGAAGGCAGACTGCCGAAGAATTGATGCTTTGGAATTGTGGTGCTGGACTGAGGGGACTCTCAAGAGCAATTGTGGTGCTCTTGAGAGTCCCCTGGACTGCGTGGAGATCAAACCTACCCATTTTGAAGGAAATCAACCCTGAGTGCTCACTGGAAGGACAGATCCTGAAGCTGAGGCTCCAATACTTTGGCCATCTCATGAGAAGAGAAGACTCCCTGGAAAAGACCCTGTTGTTGGGAAAGTGTGAAGGCAAGAGGAGAAGGGGAGGACAGAGGACGAGATGGTTGGACAGTGTCATTGAAATTACCAACATGAATTTGACCAAACTCTGGGAGGCAGTGGAAGACAGGAGGGGCCAGCATGCTCTGGTCCATGGGGTTACAAAGAGTCGGATACAACTTAAAGACTAAACAACAACAAAATTCTTGACCTTGAAAACCCTGAAAAGGGTCACCATAAAACAGAATTGACTTGATGGCAAATGATTATTATTATATATATCATATATGTTACATATATTATGAATGGTATAATAGGTAAAGGTAAAGGTTCCTCTTGACATTTAGTCCAGTTGTGTCCGACTCTAGGGTGCAGTGCTCATTCCCATTTCCAAGCCATAGAGCCAGCGTTTGTCCAAAGACAGGTTCTGTTGTCAGGTGGCCAGTGCGACTAGACATGAAACGCTGTTACCTTCCCACCAAGGTGGTACCTATTTATCTACCTGCATTTTTACATCCTTTTGAACTGCTAGGTTGGCAGGAGCTGGAAGAAGCAACGGGAACTCACTCCATTACGTGGATACGATCTTATGACTGCTGGTCTTCTGACTTTGCAGCACAGGGGCTTCTGCGGTTTATTTAGCAGTGTGTGCCACCACATCCCTTGAATGGTATAATGCCAGTTCACAAAGGACCAGGGGTTTGCATCTGCTCCCTTTCTCCTGACAGAATGACCTTCAGTTAACCTAACAAACAAGTTGAGCAACTTATTGTATTTTACACCACACTACATTATTTCTTAAACAGTTTAAATGTTTTGATTTCAGAGCAGCTATAATTTCTATGATATTCTGCACAGATTAGAAATCACTCAGGCTCTAACTATTTCTACAGTCTGAATTTCACCAATGGAAGATCTTCTTCCCATCAATCTTCAGTTCATGTTCATCTGGTAACAGGCAGGCAAATACAGTTTTCTAAAGGAAGAACTATTGATGTAAATATGAAATACTAAACTATACCATGACAATATTAAACTGTAACATGGCAAAGGGAGGAGGCAGCTCAAAGCATAGTGCCAGCTGTCATTTGTTTATCCTTCAATTTCAGTGTAAATGTCAGACTGGAATCGACCCAGCAGTGGTCCTATCAAATCAATTTCAGTAATGTTTCTGCAAAACCAATTTACTATAGCCAAATCACACCTTTCCAACAAAATCCCTTCCCAAAAGGATTTAGCCAAATCATACTTTTCCAACAAAATCCCTTCCCAAAAGGATTTGTAATTGAAAGCACACCCTTTCTCTATGTGGGGTCTGATATTAATATGCCCTCCACACCTTTCCAACAAAATCCCTTCCCAAAAGGATTTGTAATTGAAAACACACCCTTTCTCTCTTTATGTGGGGTCTGATATTAATATGCCCTCCTTACAACATAAGTGGGCAAAGGGCAGCCCTCCAGATATTGGTTCCAACTCTGCAACTCCCGTCAGCACCAGTCACGATAGCCAATAGTAAGGAATACAGGGCACTGGAGTTGAACAACATGTGGAAAGCCATTTCCCCTCCTTCCTCGCCTTAAGACATGCATGAAACCATAAGAAAAAAGAGGTCTTCTCAAATCATTAAGAACCATTTTGCACAACCTGGACATCTGTTTCCAAGTAGAAATCTATAATTCATTGAATCTGAACATGTTTGGTAATGACCATTAGTTATTTCCTGCAGCAGAGATAAATGACAAAACAGACACACCTTCGTTCATCATGTACAATAGGCGGCACATGGAATTCGTATAATACATGACCTGGAATTAATTACCATGCAGAAAATTAGTCTTGTGTGGTATAAACTAAAAGATTATGACCCAGATGAATGAAATTATAATAACTGTCTGGCTGAACAGGTTCTTCATATGACTCCATACGGGTACACTATATTAAAACATCAGTTTGTGTTAGCTGATTCAGGAAAACACACCAAACGTGAAATTAGGTATTTAATTAGGCATTAAATTATAATGCTCCTGGAGGAAAACATCACAAAGAAGGTTCTGTCAATCTGTGTATTCTTTCACACCTGAGAATTCTGCATCAGAACAGGACATGTATATAAGGGTGCACCTAATGGCTCAGGCAAAGAAGCCAGAGGCTGGGAATTAAATTCCCCACTACGCCTCCCAGAAAAGCCAGCCTGTGTGGCCTTGAGCAAGCCACACAGTCCCAGGATGCCTCCAGAAGAAGGGAAGACTAGCACTGGTGAGCCAAAACTGCAGGGAAGCACATTTCAGGAAAACACTCTGAAAACTTTCTGCACAGTAAGAGGAACTCAGTAGCTGAACGGTGCCCCAAGACGTAGTGGGTTCTATTCTTCTGAAGGTGCTTATGCAAAACCAGGATGGCCGTCTGTCACAGATGATGTAGTTGTATGCTATACTGTAGATCCATTGTGGAGATTGGAGATTGGACTAGAACTCATGGAGAATGTTAAGTGGATGGATTTTCCCCTCAATTTCTAGTCATATATAGCCACTAGATACTGTATCAAAATCTTTCCAGTTTTAAAATTTGCCCATGTTTTCAATCAACATGTATTAGAAAAATCATCACTGATACATATGTACAGTATGTCAAGAAAAGAGGGGAAATCTGTCTGCTTATAATTCTTTAACTTTTTGCATTATCTCCTCATAACATCTTGTCTCCAAGACATCATTCCCAGTGGAATCTCTGTGTGTGAGACACAAGGATAATAATATCACCATTATTGTCCTCCTCCCCTTGACAACTGTTGCAAGGTCAGGGACATTCCACAGCAGAGAGGTGTAGGCAGGCAGCAAAGAGAAAGAAGTCAGTGCTGGCAGAGGCAGGCAGTTTGAGCGGAAGAGAGGGGGTGGCAGTGGCAACTACCACTAACCCCAGAATTCTGATACCAGAAGTGACTGCCTCAGTAATGGCATAACCACACTGTTTATGCCCACTCCTTAGAATGAGGTATGCTGTGTATACAAACCTTTGGCTAGCTCTTGCATTCCCCATGTCTGAGGAACTGGACTGTAACTGATGAAACCTCACTGAAATAAACCTAAAGGTGCCACAATATTTCTCCTTTTTTGTGCTACTGTCTTGTTTCTATCCGGCATCTAGCAAAACATAGACCTCCTTGCTACTAGATAACTTTGGCTTTTCTGAATACAAATTAGATTAACCATGCCTGCCACAATCAGTTTACACTTCATGTCATTGACTTCTAGCTCTCTAGTTACTCTTGGACTTCTTTCTGGAACTTCAATCAAGTAGAATGGGGCTACGTGGATACAGGGAAAATGTTCTGTGATTGTGGAGAAATTCAATCAATGCAGCACTTAGGTACGTGTGATTTATGCCCCACCAAGTGTACAAAAGACGATCTAGCAAATGGGCAAGATAACAGTATTGAAGTAGCCAACTTCTAGTCAAAAATAGTCTAGTTACCATTTGAATTTGTACCGCTCAGAGTGGTACCGACTTACCATGAGATAATAGTATTGAAGTAGCCGACTTCTAGTAAAAAAATAGTCTAGTTACCATATGACTTTGTTTTTAATTTTACCTATTCTTCAAATCAATCCTGAGTGCTCACTGGAAGGACATACAAATCAAATAAAAAAAAATTTTTTTTAACCTATACATCAAATCAACCCTGAGTGCTCACTGGAAGGAAAGATCCTGAAGCTGAGGCTCCAATACTTTGGCCATCTCATGAGAAGAGAAAACTCCCTGGAAAAGACCCTGATGTTGGGAAAGTGTGAAGGCAGGAGGAGAAGAGGACGACAGAGGATGAGATGGTTGGACAGTGTCACCGAAGTGACCAACATGAATTTGACCCAACTCCGGGAGACAGTGGAAGACAGGAGGGCCTGGCGTGCTCTGGTCCATGGAGTCACGAAGAGTCGGACACGACTAAACTACTAAACAACAACAATACATCCACAAATTTAAATTGTGCAGCGCTCTGATATGAATAAAGGAATATCACCCAGAAGGCCCAGCCCACATGGCCAATGGCAAGGGATTGTGGGAAATGTTGTCCTGAACATCTGGAGGGCCCAAACCTCCTCACCCATGCTTTCTGCAGGCGTCAATGGGAAGTCATGGAAGGGGAAATAAGCACAGATCAGGTCTAATACTCTACCTGCTCCCACCACCAGCATCTTGGGCGCACAGCTACTAATGCAATGCAGGAGAGACCTGGAGCGGATGTTGAAATTCAGAAAAGCTACCACACAGCCCAGCTTGGCCAGTCCAAACCACACGTGGATGAAATCGGGCTCATTGCTCATCAGCAGAGCCACCGTGTCTCCGCGTTTCAGCGTCCCTTCCTTGAGGAAAAGCTGGGCTAGTCTGTTGCTTCGTTTGTCCACAGACCGGTAAGTGTGGACCTTCCCTTCGTAGACCAAGAACGGCTTGTCGGGCTGTTTTTCGGCCAGTGTCACAAACTTGTCCAGCACGGTCCAAATCCTGCCGCTCAGCCGGTGGATTTCCATAGTCACCCCATACTTAACGGCTTTCAGCAAGAACTTCAGGTCAGTCCAGAAGTACGGGAAGAAGAGCTTCTGGGCGAAATGCAGGGAGACGAGCCCAGCTGCCACTCCGGTTACCCACGGCCAAGAGGGTAACATTGGGGCAGCTGGCGCCAAACGGAGCCGATCACGGTGCCCCACAAAACAGCCCGCCACACAAACGCCGTCTCGCTCTCTCTCTCGAGGCCGGAGAGATGCGGGTGGAGGGGAGGGCCGGTCAAAATAAGCGCCCCGAGGCCAGCATCTATGGGGCGAGCAAAAAAAAGGCGGGAAGGGCTCGGCTGCGAGACAAGAGCTCGGAAAGTTAAGATACTCCCGCTCCAAAGAAAGGAACGCGTCTCCGTTGTCCGGTGCAAGGAGAGACGGACTCTGCCCCACCCGCGACTAGCTTTTGAAAAACATGCAGCAGCAGCAGCAAAAAGAGAAAAAGACCCCTTTCGCACCTCGCGGGAGGGCGAGCGCCTTCCCCCTCCAGCAGCCCCCTCTCGCCACCGGCCCCGCAGAGGAAAGCCTTTGCCTGGCTGCCTCGAAAGCGGCCGTGTGAAGAAGAGGTCAAGCTGCTAGTCACCCCTTGCATAAAGGGACCAGCTCGGCTAACCCGCCTTGACTCCTCCCTCTCCTTGCCCGCCACGGTCAGCCCTCAAGGCTCGAGCAAGCAACGCCCGGCAGGGAGAGACTCGCCTCCTTCGCCTTGAGAGCCGAGAAGAGGGTTCGCCTCGGGCGAAGGAGGAGCGGCCATGCCGCGGAACGCCAGCAACGCCATGCGCTCCCCCCCTGTGGAGCAGTCAGTCTCTTGGCGGTGGCCAGATGGCGGTGCTTTTCGCGTCTCCCCGAAGGTCCCGCGCTTCATTCAGGCCGCCACAGCTTCAAAGGACGTTGTTTTATTACTCAGGCTTCTTTTATTACTCTCAGGGCACCAGCCGCTGGGTTTGGTCCCGTGCCTGGGGAAGGCCTAGGCAGCTCGGCCCTGCCGAGGCAGAGAGCTTTGGAAGTGAAGGCAGAGAAGAGCGGGTGGGTATCTTTGGGCAGAGTTGAGGTGGCCTCGTCAGTTAGCAGGTTTCGGGTGTCCCCGTGAAAGGGTAGCCAATTGTTCCTTATTTAGGGAAGTAACAGGACGAATCACAGGATTTCATGAGATTTTTATTGGGGGGTTCTTGCAAAAGCACCATCAAATTATAGACCTCATTGATGTCCACAGAAATCATGGACCCATTGGTGCGTAGCTTTCCCATGGTATAAAAACATGGACCAGAGGCATGGATCCACATGATTTCATAGGATTTTTGGATGAAATCCTCCATAAACAAACTTCACATCATAGAGCCCATCTATCTCTACAGACGGCAACATAGAAGTCATGGGTCCATCAGGTCATGGCTCTGCAGTGGTGCAAAAACATGGGCTCAACTCATGGAGCCACATGATTTCTACATAGGATCTTCCTGAAACCACTGAGAAAGGAAATCAGCTGGATATTAAGACTGAACACGCTGAAACCCTTTGGGGTTTAATGAAGAAATAGATGTCTTGCCCTTACTTTAGCACCTACTATCTTACTGATTGTCTAACAGTCCTTGACTCAGCTGCCAGCTGCATATGAACTACAGCTTCAGATCCAGGTGTTTGCACAATGCAGGCACAACTGAGGGATCCATGATTTCAAGTGGGTGTTTTTTAAAAAAATCTGTACACAGATGGGACCCCTGACTGGATGGTGGCTTAGTAAGTATTGAAATGTGAAATTCATGTAGATCCTCGATTATCTTCTCCATGTTCTTGAACACTTGTCAGGAACGTGTCTCCTTAGAGAAGCCATCCCCTAGTGAGGGGAAGGAGCCAAACTGTAGTTCCCAATGTTCATTTTAGACTGGGTGAGATTTAGTAGGTGCGTGTGTGGGCAACTATGGGCAAGCTTCTGTCTCTAGACTTCGAATTCCTCACTTATTTGAACTTAAAACTGTTTAGCTGTATACTTTGGTCCTTGCACACCAGCCTTACCAGGTAGGACACCCAAATAACCGACAATAGCAAACAAAACACTTTTGGCGAAGGCACTTTCTTTAGGCACTCTCACCCTTGCCCCCAAGAATCACCCTTGGGTAAAATATAGAATATTTATTTAGAAAGAGTAAAAAGTTGTAAAACAAAATACAAAAAGATAGAATTGTACTGGTTAAATGCAAAGGTATTAAGTTACTAATACCTTTACTACTGAATTGCTTGGCTATTCTAAGTTACCATGACTAAGTCTCCAATCAATCAACAAAGGCTGTAAACCTTTGTCCATCTTCTTCTCCTTCTGCAACTTACACACGCGGACCAACTTACATAGCCCCCTTTCTATAACTTAAAGTCTGTGCTCCATGATGGTTTCTAATCAACATACAGTCCTTTGTCCGCAACTCCAAGCGCAACTTGTAACTTTCCACAGCTCCTTCTCTCATCCCAGGCTGGTACACTGGTATGCCATTAGCTAGGAATGTTATGATTATCAGTCCTGAGAAATGGCCTTGGCTCTTCTTCACAGGAACAAACAGTCTCTAAGCAATAGGAAACACCTGCAACTCCTGGGAAACAAGCACTACAAAACCCATGTCCTCACAGTCGTTTTTCTTTTCTTCTTTAATCCTTGTGCATACACCGAAGAGATGTACAAGTTGTGGTGGTTAGGGAAGGAACCCATGTAAACATATGGATTCCTACAGAACCATGCCTTTGATACAGTGCCATGCAGTGAGGAAACTTACTTTTGTGGGTTAGTTTAGGGACCTGCATATGTATGACCTGGTTGTGGTTAAAGTGATAATTTAGCATATACAATGAAAATAAAAACAGATGGATCCATGAAGACATGTATCTGAGCTCCGTTTTCTTATCCCATGAAGCAATAAATGCATCATATGTGTAGTTGTGCCTTTTTAAATGGAAAGGTGCTGTAATGAGCCTGGGCATGTATATGTCCCTCAATATCCATGCCTTTGGTCCATATTTTTGTTAAATACGGTATCTGTGAGCTTTATGCTTCAGGACATGGCATGGGTGACATACATGATTTGATGGTGGAGTGGTGTAAATACCAGGCAAAGGTCTTACAGGTCCATGTGGATCTGTATCTTGGAACAATGTTTTTTCTGTTATGGCAGCACTGGGAAGTAAGTGATTTGTGATTTCTGCAGTTCAGTCAGTGTGCACAGGTGAAGCATATGATTCTGCGGTGATTTCAGGAGGATCATGTGTCCAAATCCTATGGATACACAAAGATCCATAACTTGGATGCATGCTATTGTATCAATCAGGTATCTGTGCATTCTGCTGACATATATGAAGCTTATCATTTGTCAGTTCTTCAGTAAGGATGATATAAAAGAATCACCTAGATCCATGAGGAAGCATTTTTCTTAACCATGTTTTACTATTAATCGTCTTCTCAGACACCTTGGGACTGTGATGCTTGCCCAAGTGGCTGGCACTAGTAGAATGCAGAAATGACTTCTGTGGTGTTTGTTTTTTTCTGGGAATAGGATTATCCCCAAACCACCACTTCATGCTGGTTTGGGGATAATCCTATGATAAAATTATGTGCTTCAGATCCATATTTTTGCATCACTGCAAAGCCATGCACTGAAAGACCCATGATTTCTGTGGTGTAGTCTGTAGGCACAGATGGGTCCTATGACTAGATAGTGGTTTCTGCAGGATCCTGTGTAAAAACTAGGTGGATCCATGAGGATCCATGGGTTGGACTCATGTTTTTGCTCCACTGCAGAGCCATGCACTGATGAACTCATGATTTCTCTGTTGTAGTCTGTGGGCACAGATGCGATCTATGTTTGGACAGTGGTTTGGGAATGATCCTACATAAAAATCATGCAGATCCATGAGGATCCGTGGCTTGGACCCATGTTTTTGCATCACTGCAAAGCCATGTGCCAAAGGATCCACAATTTCTCTGTTGCAATCTTTGGGCATATAGATGCTCTATGATTTGACAGCAAATCAGCAACGATCCCATGTAAAAATCATATGAAATCATGATGATTTCTTCTTGATTTCATGGATCTGCCTTTTACCCAGACCCCTTCCTTCCTTCCTTCCTTCCTTCCTTCCTTACTTCCTTCCTTCCTTCCTTCCTTCCTTCCTTCCTTACTTACTTACTTACTTACTTACTTACTTACTTACTTACACATACCCCACCTATCTGGTCATTGCCACCACGAAATACCCCTTACAGTATTTAGTTTCTTTCTTGTTTGTTTTGTCCGATTTCTGGGATGCGGAGTGCAGGCTTGTGGGACTTTTTGTCTCATGGGCCAAAATATGGTGGCTGACTTTGTTTACTGTTCACCTTGTGAAGCAGAGAGGTGATTTCATTTGCTGCTTATCCTCAGGCAACAAAATGTCTTGGGTGAGACCTAGAGGCAGAGATAATTTTGTTATCTCTTGGTAGGTGTGCTGGGATACCCTGTCTCCTTGTCTTAAGCTTCTCTGCTGGCCTCAGATGTGGTGGACAATATTTATTCTATTAACTGGGACTTTTTGAATATAGCGAGAGCCAAAGACACACTCTTGTTCTTTGCCCCTGGCAGCAAAATGTTGTGGGTCAACGTCAGTCAGAGATGAGTGCTCGTAATAACTCATCTTATACTCTCACATCTTCACCTGTCTTCTTCTGCCAGGAGATAGAGTAAAGGCGGGAACCTGGTGTGCCATAATGTGCACCCAGAGGGGAGGGAAGTAAGGAACAGAGAGGCTGACTTCTTTGCTCATTCATTTTAGGCAGCCCTGTTGGACTTAATCGTGCACACAACACTACTTGACCTGTGAAAGTGAGAGAGAAGTCTCCCAGAAGAAGGAGAAAGAAAAGTGGGCCAAAGAACCAGCGCCAGCTGCTCCTTGCAATTATTATTTTCCTGGCTGCCCATTACTTGATTGATAGATGACAATCCTCCTCTTATTGCCTTGCAATCTTCCTCTAAGTAGCACGGCAGCAGGCACAGGGCCAAGTCCTTTTGTATGGGCTTCCCTAGAAGGAGAGTGAAGGCAAATGAGAGGCGGAGGCAGCACCCATTCAATCTCGCACATACAGGCTGTCAGAAGTGTATTACAAAGGACTGGGAAACTTCCCTGCAGGGAGTGATCCACCATCATTCTGATCACTTCTGTGCCCCCTATTGTGGAAGAGTATCTGCTCCTTCCCCCCCTCCCCTTGGACAGTATGGTGAGGAAGATTAGGTCAAGAAATGGGATTGGAGAGTCACCATATCTCCTCACTCACCCTTTCTCTCCAACGGATGGCATAGTATTGCTTTTATGCTATTTTTATTGTAAGCTGCCCAGAGTAGACATGGTCTAAATGGGCAGGGTATAAA